CCAAGAGTCGAGATCTGGGTTTGTTGATATGCGGATTCCGCATACCGGTCCAGTGGTTATTCACCGCTCGCTCCACGGGTACTCGGGCGCAGAACACAATTTCCCTCTCATTAAACAACTGTGATGGCTGTCACATTTATTGTCTATAAGTAGTACTAATTTACTAATTAACTACAATCCCACCAAAACCGTGGCACATTCCACTCTCTAGATGCCGATAAAGTAAATCGTGTGACCATCCTCGAGACTTGTTGCGAGATACCTCAGTTGAGAAAGAGATTATTAGCTACCGACCACATTCACCCGAATCGGCTATTGTTGTTAACTGTAGAAAGGAGCAACTCTCCGTCTGTCGAAAAAACCACCAATTGATTATCGCGAGAACTCATGACCAATTTCGACAAGAAACAAAATCAGCAAGACACGATAATTCTCTTTTCAATTCTGATAGATCGACTTATTGCTACCTCAATCAATTTCACTGAAACAAAATGATATCAACTACCATACGCCAACAACATTGACAAGCTAGACATAAGCCCTGCAACTACGTTGAAAGAAATCTTCATTCCTAAGCTAAGCACATCAGACTAAGATTCACCAACCCCAACGCTCAACGTCTGGGGAAATCTAGGCGAGTGCGCGGAGCTACTTTCCTAACAGGATAACATGTTCTCGTGTTGAGCACAGTGACTCGGGTTTTCAGATGTACGTATACGTGCTCAGCTGTCCAGGCCAGTCCTGAGAGGTGAGCCCTTGGGGGGAATCAAGACGGTGCAGTGTACCCCACCTTCACGGCTGTCCAGCGGCAAATCCCTTCCGGGACCGACCATGCATGTCTCGCAAACACAGTCTTTAGTAATGAATCTTGCAGAGACAATGATGAACATTAATCAGCAGATTACTAACTTAGGTGGGAAGGATCCATAGATCTTTACGCATTGTTGGGTGACAAACTCCAACTGCCGAGCCGCATGGCTCCTCGAAGAACCATGTTCGTGGCCCGCGACAGATTCCTGAGGCACACATACAAACTAATTGGAGTGCTGGGAGGCGTTTAGAATTAATAAGTGGGAAGCAACGCATAAGAGGGACACATGCGGAAAGTATAAGAGCATGTAATGAAAATTTGTGGAAGAGATTTGAAAATGTGAGATTTTTACGCACGATTATAGCCGAGTAGCATAAAAGGATTAATAGAGAACATAACAGTGTACATTGCAGCACCTACCCAAGGTTCAACAGGAGTGCATGGCTCCGCGAGGTAATACTCCCTCCTTCTTTGCCTGCTCACATCAGGCTCATACCCACTGCCGTAGGTAAACCTATCATCATCGTCCTGCTCACGACGTTGACAAGCCATCTCATAGTAAGCTCTGGTAGGGGAAGGTCTCTCGTTGTAGATCTCTGGTGGGGGATGGTGGGGACGAGAGTGGTGCTCAGGAGTTTCAGAATAATTGGTAGGAGCATTTCTGAAGCCAGAATCCTCCACATAAGGTGCCGATCGATGTACCTAAGCCTGGGCAATAAGGCAATCCATAAAACCACAACGTGACATACCGAACGGTTCTCAACTGTCGGTTCTTGCCAGTTCATAGAGTTCCTCGAGTTACTGTCGGATAAGCGACTGGAGCTTATGACCTCTACAGGGAGAGGCGGTGGTGGTGGTGGAGGAATCGACGACACCTGACCATGAACGTTGAGAATCTTCCCGGTGCGCAAAGATATCTTGCTGGGCGAGCGAGTTGCGGTCAAGTTGTGCAAAACACTCGGAGTTTCAATAGCGCTTCCTGCCTACGGCAATACCCTCAGACCGGCGCCCTCCTTCCTTTTTCGTGTTCGGCCGATTGCAGTTGATAAACGTTCCCCCATGACTCGTATAAACAACCATGTGAAACGTCAAACGTGCGACATTCAGTTTCCACTCGAGTAAAATACCAACCCTTCCAAGATCGAGTTCATATGTTAGATCCAATTCTGAGAGCGCCGTTAAAGCAGCTCAGGAGAGGTCTATTCAACATGCCGACTAAGTGAACTGCGGCGAGCCTCACCGGGTTGCTCTGGAAATCCATAACCCTCTGCTCGAAGCTCTGTCGAGGTGGCGAATGCGATGGGCGCCGAGGTGGCGGTGGGCAAGCTGGTTTCAGAGGCCTCAGTGGTTTCTTAGCTGAACATGCGTCCTTTAAAAAGACAAACAGTGAAGGCCGAATCATACCGGATAGCTTGCTAGGGGGGTCGTCAGCGCGATTAACAACGATCGGATCACGAGACGGGGGAGATGGGATAGCCTCTTCTTCATAACTACGATACGCCTCAGCCTTCTTGTGCTTCTTGCCTACTATGGAGATATGTTCACATTCATGTCGTTTCACCTGACCTTGGAGATGGTTCACAACGTGCCACGGAGAGGCGAGTTGAGCGTCACACCACGCGCACTCCCACCCAAACTCGCTATCCTCGATGCATCTCGGCCACTTGGGATCTGATCCCAATACGATGCTTAGTCACCATACAGACTTGCTCACGCTGACCTCGTTCGTAATCCGTGTCTTTCCTCACAGAAGTCACAGCAGTTCTGGTAGCAGACGAGCGTCTCCTTCCCATAACCGTACCATCGTCATCTATGATAGCCGTAGTTCCCCAAGACCAACCACTGCGACGATCAGCAATAGAAGTGCCCTCCAGAGCGTCCCTGAGGAGCTCAACAGTGAACTACTCCAAATCATTTCAAGTCGTACTTGTGAGCAATGCTGTCAACATGGCGGTAAAGTGGGTTGAGGCCTTCCATACGAGCGTCACAGGCCGCACAATACACCCACAGAGGGTTCTCTTTATATCTAACTGTTACCATGCAGTTCTCACTCATAACCTGACCATCATCACATCATCAATACAGTGCGAGCCAAGCAGTAACAGTATACGCAATCTAAGGAGTCGGACGGAGCTGAAATTTCGCTTAAATTATCGTTCCACGCGATTGCACACATTTGCACATAAAATCGTGGATGCACTCAGTTATGGTCCCCATGTGTTCTTCCCCCCGTTGCAATCGCGTGCGCCTCACTCTAACCTCAACCAATAAATTGACCTATCAGATATAGCTCCTGTGACACGAAACGCACTCCTTAGATTGCGCATACTCTACGCATATCCAGATTTTCAACATGATTTTTCTTCAATTCGAGAGTACGACTATAGTCTACGGAACGCTGCTAAAACGATGGTGTCAATCAATTCGCATTGTCATCATATTGATATTACTCAAAGCTGACTTTCGAACTGCCAAAATTGCTGAAAATATTACTCTACTGTACAGTGGCATTAAAAACATGTCAACCAAACCGTTATGTAAAGTTTTTACACCACGGTTTGGTTCACACGTCTAAAGCGAACACGCCTACCTCAGCATTTCTCTCGCCCACTAGAGTGGCATCATACTCGTCAACTTCCTCGAACGGCTCCATCCCTAGTGCCACACATTCCGCATTGTGTTGGTCGCCTACGATCAGCAAGACCTTCCATCGCTAGTGACTGCGATGCAGACTACTCTTGAGATGCATTTCCATCAGAGACGAACTTGGGAGAACCGCCCCTGTATGGTGACCACAGCATACTGTGCATACCCAACCGTAGCGGTCGACCTGAAGAGACGACGGTCGCAACAGTGTGGAGGAATATGCACATGGTCAACAGGAGCTCATCCACCCTTGGGAAATAACGCTCCCTAGGGTTTGAGAACAATAATAAAAATGTTCTTAATGTGATGATTATATTTACATGGGGAACTGGTTGAAGAATGTGTTCCTAGCCATAGGTGGAAAATTCAAAATGAGTCCCCCCTGGGAACATTATAATTTTTCTGGGTCATTTCCTACTAAACAACTACATGTGTTGGTGCCAAGATTTGCGAGATTCTTTTCGGATCCTGTACACTTCTACCCGAATTCATATGTAAAATTCTTATAATTAGTGAGGGCTCTTGAACTCAGCTGAGGAAAGCGAACACATCAGGAGTTTCCTCACTGACTATGGGAGTTTATATACAAATTCGGGTAGAAGTGTACAGAAACCAATAAGAAATTTTCATATCGCCGCTCACACATGTAGTTGACCATTTTCCTATCAATAGCATCATCTCACGTTGACGTATCCTGGCATCTTGCACGAGGCCCTCTCCACGACCTCCTCCTCCTCCTCAGTGGTCGCGCGTCCTCTGTTCACCCTCGGGGACAGTACGGGGGCAGTCCACGCCGAATCCTGATCGACTTTCCCAACCGCAAGTTTCCGACAGGACCCCACCTCTCGGAAGGCGCTGATCCTCCTCCCATGAAGTGCCGATTTCAGGTGCATTTTCAAAGCATCAAAAGTGCAGAACTTCTTATCGCACAGTAAACAGTATATCCAATTCTGATCACCATCAGCACAGCACTTCCACACAAGGTCATCACTGACGAGGTCTTACTACCTCATCTACACCTGGGACGTTATGACCATCAGAGAGAACCTACACATACTTCGTGATGTTGGTGAATTATGGTATGCCAATAATTACAATTTCGTTGCTTTTCATAACCTCATACCAGTGATCGCCTTCCCTGATGCCCCACTCCTTCAACAGTGCTGGTGACATATCGCAGGTAGCAAAAGTGAGACCATCCCCCTCATCCTCCTCCTCCTCAGTTGTAGATCCCCTCACACCCTCAGGGGGACGGGAAGGGGGAGGCCCCACAGGCCTTGTCGGCGGCGGTAGGGTCGACCCTGAAATTTTCCAAGTAGAACTTCGCATTAAAAAATCATCCGAAATTGCAGTTGGATGAATTTTAACGTCTCACGTGAGATTTGAATTCAGGTTTTACTATTTTCACTTGAAGTGAGAAAATAACTAGACCAGTGTTGGTGAAATATATGTTCGCTTTCCTCAGCTGAGCTCAGGAGTTTCCTCGCTAATTATAGGAGTTGGGGCAGAAGTGCACAGAAACCAGCAAGAACTCCCAAAAATTTCCTCTCAGAATTTTCCCATTGTCACCAACACATGTGGTTGGCAATACCGCAAATTCCACCACACTGTACTAGACTTGACAGAAAGCAACGAGTTTACCGCCCTTGCTTCTCGACGAGTCCGCTCCGATTCTTTTGAAAAATTCCGTCTCTGAATTATGGTGAGTCTTCTCCTCCTCAGCGGCTGTGTCTTCGCCTTGACTATAATCAGCCCAGTTGTTGTTGTCGCTGTCCTTAGGTCGCCCGGGAGGCAGCGGAGGCCTTTTTCCATGGATCATCATGAATGAACTAAATATTATTCACTGATGAGATAACGAACGTAGTAGAGTACTGGTAACTCAACACCAGCAGGAGCTGCTCTAATAACAGCACCAAGCGTTAATACCACGCATAGCACTCCTGTTACAATTTAGCGAGTTAGCATTTCTTACGTATACTCACAGTTGCCAGTGTTGGAGAATATGCACATGGATGCACATGGTGGTGACAATATGAAAATTCTGGGGAAGTTCTTTACACTACTATTCGAGTTCCCATGTAAACCTTTAAAAAATTATCGGTAATACTCTCCTACTCAGCTGAGGAAAGCGAACATATATTTCAACGATCATGTATGTTATTGTTTTGTTCGACAATTTCGCACTAGATGTATGTGAGCTGTTAATGATGCCCGACCAGTCTGCGCGCCAGAGAGCGTCACTTTTTTGTACATGCGTACAGACTTTCTCCTCGTGCTTGCGTACAAGTGTGAGCATAGGATACATTCCGTTGATCTTGAGCATTGGCCGTTACTAGCTCCTACGTCCGTAGCCATCTTGGCTCAAGGTCTCAGTGTACGTTTGGGTCGCATCTCTCCAGCTAATGTCGGGTCGTGTTTTTTGTGGAAACAGAATTATACACGTTTGATATGGTAGATTATACGAGTCACAAGTGAAACGCTGACCATCAACAGCCTTAACCAATCAAACAAATAAACAGAGCCCGCAAAGAGACGGGCGGAACAATGGTACGTAGTATTGGCTATACTACCGTGCGAAGGTTAAAGAGTTCATCATCAGCTACGATGCCGCTGGAAGACTCTTCCGGAAAACTTTCGGGGCGTGTTGACACAAGAGAACGACAGGAGGCATCGGACATCAACACTGTCCTCGTCATTTCTCACTGTAGAGATCCGTATATATACTCGCTCGCCAAGAGTGAAACCTTTGCGGTGTAGTAGAACATGGCGTGTAATAGCAAACTATGATAATACTTTTCATCATCCACAATGTTGTGGAATTGTGGGCATCTCATTCATCATAGCATCCGACGAGCAGCACCACAGCGCTCATATTCCCTCCGTTTCTCTATGGCTACCGACCCTACAGCCACCGATCATCCCAACGGCCTCGACGATGAGCTGTCAAACCCCTTCCTCATTCCTCCAGATGACGTGATATTCCTTATGCGAGATCGCGAACGGCAAGTTCGTCAGCAAGAACGGGCTAAGACTCAGCTACTCAAGGTTGGTGTTGCCCCTAGGAGGTCGCCTGAGCTCCTCTGAGGAAAGGTATGGGAAAAGTCAACGGCTTCGTCGCGGACGGGCCGAGTGGAAAAACAGATAATTTCCGATATGACCAGCTCTAGCAGTATACGTCATCGAGTGGAAGCGAGCAAAACTGATAGTACTCTCATCGGGCGTATGTTACTGAGTATTATTGAGATCAGGTGAATTCGAATTTAGAGAACGCGAAAACGTATCAGATTTCGTGACACACACACGCGAAAAATTTTTGGTGAGTGCGTGGAAGCGATAAGGAGTTTAGTTTTTTCTTTCACGAGAATGCACAGGTCCAGTTATCACTAGATGTGAAACGGGAAGAGATTCGAAAGCTCGAGGAGAAAGTGAGGATGAAAAATGAGGCTCTTGAGAAAAGCAAGGAGGCGTTGGAGGGCGATATAGCGAGGTGAATCACGATGTTAAAGGAATATATGTTTGCTTTCCTCAGCTGAGCTCGGGAGTTTGCTTGTTTATATACGAAAACGGGTAGGAATTGACGGAAACTAATGATAATTTCCCGAAAATTTCCTCGAAAATTTCACTCCGACACATGCAGTTGATCATGTGCATATTTCTCCCCCACACATTAGTCGTGCAGTGCAAGACTGGATCGCAAAAACGCAAATTCGATGTGGTGAAATTCGCACATGGTCAACCACATGTGTTGATGACAATATGAAAATTTTCGAGGAAATTCTTGGAATTTTTTTATGCAAACTAATATAATTATGAAGGAACATATATTCCAACAGCACTGGGCAGATTCGACAAGTTTCTGCAAGCGAATGACGCCTTGGCACACGAGGCCATGAGAAAGGCTGATAATCTCAGCCGACAGAAGCAGGAGAAGAACGCCAAGTTGAAGCAGTTGAATACTCAGGTGAGGCTGTGGCTTTTTTCGATGGAAGAATATTATCATTTTCATATGAGCTACCGTGTAGTAGTGCATATTCAGCTCTTGGTGGTCCACAGTGAAATCAACAAGCTCGAGGAGGAGATGGAGGAATGCCTAAAGTGAACTGATATATGAAGGCGATCTCAAATTCGAGAAACAGGTATAAAGAGTTTATAGATAAGCTCACGCCACCTGAGTGGACGACACGGCAGGAGGAGGTCAAACGGGAGAGGAAACGTCAAAGGCGACGCGTACGATGTGTTTGCTTTCCTCAGCTGAGCTCATAAGTTCCCTCATAACATTATTAAAATTTTGGATGTAAACGTACGAAAACCAACGTTAATTCTCCAAAATTTCCTCAGAATTTCCATATTGCCACAAGCACGTGGTGATGACTATGTGCATATATTTTCGCGCTAGACGTGTATTGTTATTCCTATTGCGTATGTCGTTGTTGAATGTATGTCTTCACTTCAGGCGTATATTCGGAAGCGTTGCGATGAAATTGACAAGAATGTCGCGGACGCTCTGGTGGCAGATGAGCTTGAGGTGAGACTGAGTTGGTTTTGGAATTTTTGAAGTGATCAATTTCAGATGATGAAAAATTCCGAGGAGAAGACCAAATCGAAACCACGCAGGTGAGCGCGGAAAGGTTTGTATGAAAATGTATTTCGCAAACAGACGAGGTAGAAGGAGCGAGCGGAGCGAGGAGGAAATGGCAGCGCTGAGAGAGCAGGAAATTGAGGTAAGCGATAGTAGCATTAGAGTTTCTACCACGGTGAATGGCGAGATACGACGGAGGCGCTATCGGGCAGGGCATCCGGAAAAGGATCAGATTGCTGCATATTACGATCGCGAAGTTGCCGAATCAAGCGGTGAAGATTTGCCGATGTGAAATTTTTCTCCGAAGCGCCTTTTATTGTCGTCATCGTTTTGAAGGTACTTTGAGAAACCGAAGCAGTTGTTGGATCTCTTTGCATCGTTGGAAGAGGAAAACCTGTTCCTCATTCGAAACGGCCAGGTAGATGGTCAGTAACTGCTTGCGAATGTATGTGGTGTAAAAAAACCAATATTTTGTGAACATTTTGGGGAAATTTTGTTGGTTTTTGTGAAATTTAGTGGAATTTCTGAGCTCAATTGAGGAAAGTGAACGTATTTTCCAACACTGTAGGAAACTCAGCAACAACTCGAAGATGCTGAAAGTAGACTAGAAGATACGCGCGTCACATTAGGAACGAAAGCAAAACTCCTCGAGAAGGATAACCGGTCGGTGCTGATTCATTTTTCTGACTCGGCAGTTGGTCATCTAGGAATACAGCGGGTAGAGTTGATGCCACGCGGGGGGAGTGGGAGAAGCTGGAGGCTAAGGCGAAGGGCCGCAGCGGCTGTGGGGGCATCAAGGCCTTGCTCAAGGTGAGAGTGTATTTGTCGTTGAGCAGCTGTTTTTGGTAGGACTTGGCTGATGCGATGAGTGTCATGGCTGCGACATGTGGGGTGGACACCGATAGGGATGGGGATCCTCTAGTTGTATTGAGTGCAGCTGAGGGGAAGCTGGAGGAATGGCTCGAGACACTCGCGGGTGAGGCGGTAGGGATGTGCTATTCAAAATGGGAAGGGGTAGTCAGACAGTGTTGGAATATATGTTCGCTTTCCTCAGCTGTGTTAAAGAGGTCCTCACTAATTATTGAACTTTTCGGGTAGGAAAATCGAAGAATTTCCTCAGAATTTCATGCTGTCACCAACACATGTATTTGATCGCTTACATATACTCAGATGCAAAGGCAGCGGGAGGCAGTCTGGCGGAAGTGGTCGTGAGGATGGAGCGGGAAAAGGAAAAGGAAAGGCGTGATAGAGCCAGGGAGGAGAAGGTTCGCGCTCAGAGTGAGAAAAATGAGGACCGCTTGAAGAGCTCATTGCTGCGTAGTCAAGCACCAGTAATGTCGTCCTGCTGAATACCATCAGAAGTGGTGGGTCTCAGATTTCGAGGAAGTATGGTAAACCGCTGATGTTCCGCTCTCCCCCGTCGCGAAAGGAGGCTGAGGACGAGATCGATAAGGCTGCGGAAGAGCACGCAGAGGCAGGCGTTCCTGTCAGCTGTGTAGAAGGTGAATATTTTAGGCCCTACTGAAACTGTTCGGCTCGCATCCGCCGCGGAACATTCCCTTTGTTCCTCCGGTGAAGACGAAGGCGAAGACTAAGTTGGCTGAAACGAGTACTCCGAGATCATGAATACAAATTCAAATTTATGGGGTATGGCCCCTCTTGCTATTGTCGTGATTTGAGTGTTCCTGTTTTGTGTTAACTGAAGTCTTCTTTACTTCCTGGGCAAAGCCAAGCATTGTGCGTGCTCGAGCCTCACGAATGGGAGGTTGGTAGGTTGGTCAAGTCGTGACGATTTGTGGTCACCATCTGCAACATAGTATCCAAACTCTGACTCACGAGGTATCATGATGAGGTTGCTGATCAGACAGGCTCGCAAACGGAGCTGGAAAGAGCACTCCATCATGTGATCATTACTGGGTGTTGCTACTAAAGGCTATGGGAATTAGAACACGCTGACATGGATTTCGAGGGGGTGTACTCGAGTCGGTGTGAGGGGTTTTTAGGAGTTGCAAGTCTCTTGATATACGGATCATACCATGGGTCACAAGACCGTTAACATGTCGGTGGGAAAGTTCTTGGTAGTTATGGTTCTTTGCAATTTACGGACGTTGTGGCTCAAAGAGTGAACTTTGCTAAGAGGCTCAACGACACCTGGAGTATTCGAACCTTCGCGGGCATCGCCCAGTAACTGAGCAAACCGCCGCCTTAACAACTCGGCCAAAGCTTCTATAAATTGCCGAAGGAGTCATGCTTGTCGTCGAGGACGAGGGTAATAACGTCTTACGAGTGTACTCCAACACCGACCTCACTCCGAAAGGAGCAACCCGATTGATTTCTCTGAGTCGCTACACCACAATTACGCCACCCGTGGCTTTCCGTAAATGGAAGCGTTCTCGAGCTCTTCACTTTGGGACTCAAAGAGCTATCACCAGCTCGCTCCGACTATTCACTAAGTACCCACAACTTTGTACTTAGTTCTGTTCACTTGGTTTATATATTTTGCTTTGGATGGCTCTTCTCCCCAATGTTCTCCTGATATAGAGTCCCTTACTGCTAGTCGGTAGCTCAAAGGGAGCAACCACAGCAGCTTTACTCAACAGCCAGTTCACCATATACCAACGCAACACGCCTTCGTCAGCAGTGGCAGGAAACACCCCTATGATCCCCACATTGGAGATCTCTACGTTGGTCCCATCTATCCACAATGTGCTCATCCAGCATCACAAGCAAGGAAAATGCTCTCCATATCGAGGGATTAATATGAGAGCATGCTTCTTCGTGTCTCCTACAGAGGCTTGAATTCGAGGAGTTGCTCAGAGCCAACGGTAGCACTCTTCTTAACATCGACAACCTTGCGGAAGTACTGCGTCCCCAACACGCCGTCCTGAATACCAACAACTGCATGTTTACATTTAAATGTAAAATGGCCACCTTCCCCGCAGTGAGATAAACGTTGTTGGCACTCCGTAAGAAAACTATGTGGTCCTCAGCGGCCTTTTTGGCGTCAATGTATATCTGATGAGAAGTATTGAAAAAGAGAGAAAATGATGGTCGCGGCCTTTACATAGATTTCTGCCGATTTCCTCAGTCCACTCACGACCCCCGTCAGTGTTGCAGTGGCGTCTACCAAGTGGATGTGTTGCCGCTAAAAGAAACTCAACGGCAGCCCTCTAATGTTATCGACCTACACCCATCGGCCTTAGGCCTCCACTAGTAACGATAGCATTCCAATGATTGAAATAAGTGCCGTGAACCAACAGTAATGGAAGAGCTGCCGCGCTCATTGGAGTCCTGCCAGGGAAGGTCGAGACGTCTTGCCACACCAAGGTTACATGATCAGCATTGGATCCACTACACTCGAGGGAAATGAGTGCCCCTGGGTAGCTCGGATGATCAGATCTCCGTTTGGTGCGGTATTCATGGCGTATCTATCATGACGATGTGAAGATGCAAATCAGGTACACTGACATACCGTTGTTTATCATTACTCGCAACACACTGCTTGATATCATCCTCAGTAGCTCGTAAACTCCTGAACCTAGCATTAGCTAGAAGCTCCTTTACTCTGACGTAGCCGGCCTTGTCGATG